TTAAAAATTGACTCGCGTAACAGATTGTCAGAGATTTAAAAAAATCGTTAATCAACGCAATCTCTAAGTGCACCTATATTTCTCAGTTGCCGTGATGTAGGTTAGCACTGTTAATTTAAACTCGTAAGAAGAATCAGTTATCAAAAGTAGACAGGAAATTACTAAAGTTGTAAAAATAACTCTATTTGCGAGAATAGGCAGGGATTTCAACTGCAAAAGAAAAATATTGACCAATAAAATAATTAAAGAAATGCAAAGGTACATTTTATGTTCTATATTATCAATCTGTTGTTCACGATTTTTGTTTCCTTTTCGTGTATACGTAATTGAATATGACGTAAAAATAAATTATTTTGGAATTGTGTATAGATGAAAGAAAGATTAATATTATATGTTCTAAAATGACGCTAATTATGCGACTTTCCTTTTAAAATAATTAAAAAATTATACATGTTTACATAGTAAAAAAAATGGAGGTTGGCGCGCAAAGCAAGTAGAGGAAAAAACCTTTTAAGTAGTAATCATAAACAAAACATGGTTGATCTGAACAAAAAAATGTTTGTAGTTTATGTGTTTCTAATATCTGATCTCTATTTGAAAATGTTTTGCTACCGGTAAGTACAATTTTAAGGACAAAATAATTAGTAATAAAATGCAGGAAAACTTGTCATTTTCTGGGTCCGCACAGTTTGATGTAAAAAACCTCATATAGTTAAATCATTTGATCATCTCATAAATGACATATTTCCTTTTCCTAAAACTCAACAAAAATAACAAATCTTGAAGTCTTTGAATGTTGTAAGTAAAGATTTTTCAGCATTTCATTTCAAAAACCGACCAAGCCAAAGTGAACCTAATCAACAGAGATCTCGAAAACACAAACAGATTACACATAATTCATCTGGAATAGCTTACCTGTTTTTTTAACATTTAAGATGTACAAAGTTTTTTTTTTCTCCCAAATAAAAACCAGTACTTAACGGTGCTGAAAAAGAAATGAAAAAAATGATTTTAAAAACTAATTTGGTCCATAAATATTTCAAAAAATAATGGAAAGTTCAGGTAACGCGGTTATTTTTATCATTTAGATATACATAATAATTTAAACAATGTTAACCCATGCATACATCATTTTCTTAAATTTATTAAGCTGGAGTTGTGCAATGAAAAATTATTGCTTACTTAATACTTGTCAACAAAAACTTTGTCCAAATTTTATTTTATAATGTTTTACAATCAGCCGCACATATTTGTACACTAGGAAACAGAAGCTTTAAATGTATTTTTTTATTTTATTTTTTATTTTTTTTTATTTTACTGTTAGATGACAAAAAACAGACTTCACTTATACATTGTAATATGTGATTTCACATCTTGAAAATTTCCTATCGGATGGTAAATATGCATCTCAAGAGTATGTAATACTGCCCGAAAATAAAATAGTTTTATTCAGTTTCTTCGTATTACCCTTGTATACAAGGCAGTAAGAAACTTGATGGAATTTTCACATTAATTATTAATCAAACATTTTCTTTGGCAAGCAAGCACTTGCCATTAGTTACCTAACTATGCTTCAAGTCAACAAAATATTTTAGCGGTCAAGGAAGCATCGATTAACATCCTTAATGTTTATCAGAATCATGTAGTATATACAATATGCTCGATATCGAGCAAATATTGGCGATTAGCAAACAATATTTTAATGATTAACTGTACTTAATAATAGTGGGATTCCTAACAGCCGATGCTTGTTCGCCTAAGGGCACATTTAATTGATAAATAATACTAAAATTAATTTAGGGCCTTGTCACTGATGCTCGTTTGCCTAAGGAAATATTTCATTTATAAATACTACTGTTAACCAGTTGGGCTTCTAATCGCCAAAGCTTGTTTTCCAAAGAAAATATTTTATTATTAATTAATGTAAATTATTAAATGATAGTACCAACCTGAGGCCTTTCACGTTGTTCCGCGCAATCAGGGCACGTAAAATGGGGATCTCGTGCGAATTTACATACTTCAAACAAACGGTGAGTAAGTACAAGTGTCGAGCAGCCTGACTTGATACCAAAAATCTTAGAGAACCATCCTCTGAACAACAATAAACTCCCGCCGTTTTCAAGGACACTTGCACAATTTCATCATGTGGTTGAAGATTACGTTTAGCTATTACCTTCGATATATCTTTGCTCAGTTGGACCATGTGTTCGTGAAAATATTTGCAACCACTTAGCGACGAATTCTCTTGCAGAAGATTNTAAATGCTTTTAAATTAGTCATAAGCAGACGTATTAAAAATACTTGCATAAAAATTTTAAGTCAAATTCAAAATATGTTTTAATTTTCAAAAATATTTTGAATTTCAAGTAACATTTCGGATATTCAAACATGTTTACATTTATTGTGTATTAAATGTAGATATTTAAAAAATCAACACATATTATTAATTTTAATTCAAAATACATCTTAAATGTGCTTGAAAATTACAAACTTTTTTAACAGTGATAATTATCAAATAAACACTTTTATACATTACTTCATGAGCATAGATACTCTTCCAAATACTTTGCATTAAAATTATATTTCATTTTTGGGCTGGAAGTTTTTTTTTATTACCATTCGCAAATAAAATTTCATCCAGCACAAATAATGCACGCATTTTATATTGCACACATTAAATACCTTACAATAATATTTTCATTCTTCAAAAATATAACCATTGTAAACAAAAATAATTGTATTAAAATAATTATTTTTTATTATTCATCAAAAAAGGTAACTCGACTTCAAACAAACGGTGAGTAAGTACAAGTGTCGAGCAGCCTGACTTGATACCAAAAATCTTAGAGAACCATCCTCTGAACAACAATAAACTCCCGCCNTTATTTGTTAATCCTTTTTCGATTAAACGAAAATTAAAAATAAAAAAAATAAAAAAAAACAAAAGAAAAACGGAAAATATTCTCACCTAAAATACCAACAATACTGAAGAGTACGGCGCAGCCGGCGGCGAACAGCGTCACCCAGCGTGGGTACTGCATCACATTCTCGACCATTTTTCTATATTGAAAAACAATCTTCTTTTGCGTTTTTTTTTCTCCTTCCGGTATCCGATTCAGCCGGTCACATCACCTTATCGACATTTCGCCTGTTGTAAAAACACACGCACATTGTATTAAAAAATACTAGTAATTCGCAGTAAGAAGGGTCCATTAAAATTTGCCAAATAAAAAAAAAAAAAAATAGTTGGGGATGTAATGAGAAAAAATTTTAGTTAAAAGAGGTAATTTTTTTAAATTTATTTAATTTGTTTCCTACAACGAAATACTTAGCTATAAATTAACAGCTTCTTATTTTGGATAAAAAGTTTTCACTGCTCAGAGTGTCATTTTTTTAATTGAATAATTTACTGAAAAATAAGTGGGGAAATCTCCTTAATGTTGAACGCAATTACAATTGTAAAATTACGAAAAGCAAAAAAATTATTTAACAAGTATCGAAAATTTTTCGCGAATACGAGCACACACGTATCATGGGAGGCAGAGACGCGACGACACCCGATGTACCGCACCTATTTTCGTCGCTCATTCTCTCTGATGCATGCAGATTCTAAAAGGGAATCCGATGATGGTCGACGACGCCTATTTTCGATAAGATCTGGGACCGAGATCTCGGTGGATGTTTAGCGTATGTGCGCGACTTGTCTAATTTTCTTTGGCAAAATCAATTGATTCCTTAGCGGCACAAATCTTTGAGGAAATAAAAAATATTAAATAAAAATTTTTTGTACGAGACAAAATTTTTGTTTTTTTTTTTAATATTTGAGAATAATTTTTTTTTTTTTGTAGAACACTTTTCTTTGCATTATAACTTTTTCCTAGAAGTGCCATTTTTTTTCATTGCTATTTATCAGATAGTACGCAGCAAAATTATTCGAAAAATAATGCACCCTATAAAAGAGAAAAAAATATTGCTAAGAAAAAATTGTCAAAATATTTGCAAAGTATTTGTTTGAACGCTTCAAGTTAATTTTTATAAGGAGCTATTTTTTGCTCGAAGTACATTGTGTTAATAAACTGTAAATATTTTACAGCAAAAGTATTCCATTATACTGTGAAAAAAAAAACCAAAGTATTTGAATTATAGTTTTTTAATTCAACATTTATTTTCTTTTATTGTACGGCACTTTTTTTACTGCAATAAAAAGTCATGTACTTAAGTACTGTATTGTCGATAGTAATTAGAAAAAAAATTACAAGGCAAAGCGTTGGAAAATCCATAAAACAAGGCCTATTTATATGTATTGTACCATTAAATTTACAATATTGATGTTGGTGGGCCGAGATTATTACGAATTAACTCGGAATTAACGACGTGCTTTCGAATGTAGTAATAACGCTGTTGGCGACTAATCGGTCTACTTCCGGGGCGTGAAGATCGATCTCTTTTTTTTCATTCTTCTCACATTGTCTAGAAAAATTTATTTGCATGGCATCCCTTTTTTTTTTTTTTTTTTTTTTTTTTTTTCTAAAATCTCACTCGGGACGTACATAAAAAAAAAAAAATTAAAAACTGTTACATAAACTAATAACAACAGTTATCAAATTATATTCTCAGTTTTAAGTCACTCAGTCCGCAGCTAGACCAAGATGACTTTCACTTCCCACGATGTTTTTTTTTTTCTTTCATAAAATTACTTAGCATCAACAAAGAGTCATCAGAAAAAAATCCGAGTAACATTTTTCTTCCTACCCGTCCTTTCGCTGCATTCGTTCATTGTTTATCTTACATTGGATATGGTACCTACTTATTAAAAAAATGTGCAACGAGTCATTCAGGCTTTGCAGTGCAGCAGCAACAGAAAAATCAGTTTGAAAGAGAGTACGGTAAAAGGGTGGAGAGGGAAGTGGGGGGGGGGCACAATACACATTCTGTCACCACTGCAGTAGGCACATCTATATGTATACAAGTAGGAGTACACACACAACACAACCGCACCTTTGCGGTCGTCGTCGGAGCAATTGTTGTGCTTATAGGATCAAGCTCAAGCCTTTTTCCCGTAAGTTTTATACAATTTTTTGTTTACTTAGGTATAAGTTCCCTTCATTCGTCGGTCCTTTGACTAATATCATTGGTAATTTACAGTGCAAACATGAGCAGGAAAGGCAAACGGCCCCCAATGTAACCTCACCCATGGCATCAGGGGTTTGTTGTCGCAACACTCTGCAGAAAAGCTGCTTTTGCTCCGAAACTCCGAATGAAAAGTTCCCATCGCCCATTAAGTACCAGGAAACTGATTCATTGCAGCTGTGTTGTAAGCTTTTAGCCTGGATACACACTGCAGTGCTGATTCATGAAAATTGCAGGCGTGCAGTGTGAACCGTTATGATGCTGCCACAGCGAGTTTCAGCTTATAATCGTCACTTCAACCGATGCCTTCGAGTTTAATTTACATTGTACCAGGATGACCGGCTCGATAGTACTCTGGTTGGTCGTGGGCTTGGCTGGGCCGTCCTGGGCCCAGTTGAGCATGGGTTGTTTCAAGAACTCGGCACCGGAGCCGATACTCCCTGTTCTAGTTGCCAAGAAGATCGTTTCACCTGCCGAGTGCATACAGGAGTGCAGGGCTCGTTATTACATGTGAGTCTGTTTGGGACTTTCTTTGAGTGGTGCAGTGCGTTGGACGTTACTTTTTTTTTTTTTTTTTTAAGTAGCTCAAACTTTGTTGGTTGCCCATATTCAAAGAGTTGATTGCACGTTTGACTTGTAGGTTTTCGGGATTGATAAATGGTGTTCAATGTTCCTGTGGTAGTCACTATGGTAAGACTGAACCATCCAACGATTGCAAAGACGTGTGCCTGGGTGATACCAATCAATTTTGTGGATCCGACGAAGCCATCAACATATACTCGACTGGACAGAAAGGTAGGCTGTTTTGATCTTACTGAGTGACATTTTTCAAAACAATCATCATTTGTAGGTCCTAGTCCGCCAAGGAGTGTAGCCGTTACGAATTTTGGGCAGGACACGTTGGAAGTCAACTGGTTGTCGCCAGATATTCCCAATGGAAAAATAGTTTCTTACACAGTGAAGGCTGAAGCCATTGAAACCTTTTCGTCAGTTCCACTACAAGCAGTTCAGAACGAGGTGCAAGGAGAATTTTCCAACGTAACGACTCTCTATGGTTTGCACCCAGGCACCAAGTATAACATCACCATTTTTGCTACCAATACGCAAGGCTCCAGCGACGTGTCGTACACGATTGATTGGACTCGTTTGGGTCCACCTAGCAAGCCTAGCATGCCAAAAATCGTTTCGATGAGCGAAAAAACAATCACAATCGAAGTTCCAGAAGGACATAGCGAAAATGGCCCTCTGTCATTTTACCATGTCGTTGTGGTGCAAGCAGGAACGATACCTCCGATGGGACACGATGTTATGTATGAAAACTACATCAAATCGAGTAGAGAAGGCTACGGGTATTACATTACGGGAAGGTTCGACGATTCTGATTTCGGCCTGTACAAAAATTTCGTCGTTGGCGACGAGAGAATCATCGGAGGATACTATAACGCTCCATTGAACAATAAGAATGGACTGCCAGGGGTAAAAATAATTTTCATAAAAATATCCGTGTTTCATTGATACTTAAAATTCAGTTGGATATCATTTTTTTTTTTTTTTTTCAGATTGGAATCGCTGTTGAGTCGCGAGATCGGGGAGAGGTACAGTACAGCTATTCCGATTTGACCATGGGCTGGCGAAAAATTGAATTCCTCGCCAATGAAAGTCCGGGTCCCAGCACAATCAGAATCATACTCTGGGTTCTAATTGTGATATTGAGCATTTTACTCGTGGCATCGGTGCTTTTCTTTTTGATGTTGCGTCAAAGATTTCAACAGGTAGGAACAAAAAAAATCTAATGCAATTTCCATGTGGCGTGAAACACGTGTGTTTTGCACTCACAGGTGCGAATGCAAAGGCTACCCGAATCTCAGGAACTGACACTGCAAGGACCTTTGTATGAAGTAGACAACATGGCTTACATTCCCGAGGATGTGCCAGAAAGGACGAATCACTACCAGGAGCTGAAGACCAAAGTCTGGAGTATACCTCGAAATAATTTAAACTTTGATCCAAATCCAATGAAGAGGGGACTGTTTGGTACCATACATTTGGGTACGGTTCAGAGGGACGCGAGCATGGTACCGGTGTCGGTTCACAAAATTTCCGACACTGCTCTAAGAAACTCGGAAAAAAGGTATGTACCAACAATCTACCTTCATCCGTGGTGTCGCAAAAAACATTTACATAACTTTGTTTACAGAAAAATGCTGCGCGAGCTCGACATTTGCATAAAAGCAGGTAGCTCCAAGTACCTCGCCAGCCTCGTAGGCAACTGCGAGACTCAGGACGTTGTGTTCGTGGTGATCGAAATGCCACCGCAGAATCTCAAAGCTCGATTACTGGCAGCTCGTTCGGGCGACCATTTTCCACACGAGCAAATATTGCGGATAGGCGCTTGTATAGCCAATGCTCTCAGGCACTTGGACAGTCTCAAGATCATTCACACTCGCGTGTGTGCCAGGAGCGTGGGTTTAAATGCCGATTGGTCGCCCAAACTTATGGGTCACGGTGAATATTCTTTGCTGTCGATATTAACCACATTCTACAAAATTTTAAAATGTCTTTAATAAACATTCTTTCTGGTAGGCATATCGAAGTATGCATTGGAGGACGTCAAGTTTGCCAGATGGACGGCGCTCGAGTGTTTCAGCAACCAAGTGAAACACCAGCCGGGTGTGGTGTGGGCCTATGGCGTGTTACTTTGGGAGATGTTCAGCATGGGAGGTACACCCTACTCCAATCTTGAAATGGATAGTGACGTCGAGAATGCGGTCAACGATGGCTTGAGACTCCAGCAGCTCATGGATATGCCCGATCCGATTTATGAAGTCATGAGCTCCTGCTGGCTTACCGATCCCGAGGAGAGGCCAACTTTTGATGAGCTTGTTCGATTGGTGAGTAAGATTTGCCATATTCGTTTTAGCTGTAATTTGTTATTGTGGTTTTATAATTTTTCTATTGTTATTTCTTTTAGAACACGCTATCAATATGTCCAATAACATCAATAACAGAGGCATACAGGCCCGAGTTGGAATTGAACATGAACTGAATCGGTAAGTTCAGCGTTGCAGTTTAAAAATATGCACGGTGAGCTGATTGAGTCAGGCGATAAACAATTCTTCGATTGCAATAGCATTTTTACCGCGAGGTATTTATTTTTTAAGCCTGGCAAAACAATTTTAGTTACCAAGTCACGATTGATTACGAGTGACCAAAAATAAGATTGTTTTGTCTCGTTTGTTTTTATAAATTTTGTTTATACATGTTTTATATCGTTTTTTATACTTTTTGTGGCACAAATATCTCGATTACTGAGGTACTTAGAGTTACGTCATATACAGCTATTAAATAGCAAATTTCTAGCGTAGAATCTCAGCAACGAACAAGATAAAAAACTTTTTCCGTCCATTGTGTACTTTAAGTTGATTTTTATTATATATTTTAATTTTAGCATTACTTTATACACGTAAAACAAACGAGTGTTTAAAAATTTGTATAGACTGATTCAATTTTTAAAAAGTCTTACTTTAAGAAAGTAAGCTTTCTAGGAGCCAAATTTTTTGCAGATTTTTTTTAACTATGTATTTTTAAGTCGTAACTTTTATTATGTATTTAAGAAAGTTGACGGTGTGATTTTTTAAAGTATTTATCCTCAATCTATAAGTTTCCTACAAAATATCAATTATATTTATCTCATATCAATCTAAATTCGAGTACTTTTATCTATATAGTGTGACTTGCTAGTTATAAGATGCAAAAAGTATTTTATAGTATTTTTGCAATAATTAAAGAGATTTAGATCTGATAATTATATCTTTTTACAACTCTGAAAAGTATTTTTACACTGAAATACAAATATTTAAACAGTTTAAAGGATACAAGGGCAAATAAAGAAAACCAGTGTGCATTATGAAACATAATCTCTGTATTTTATACTCAATATTGACAATGCCTTAATTTATACAAATAAACAATTATAAAATCGCTGATACTTTAACTACATAATAGTACAATCGCACAGAGCTTTGGCGTTCAAGTTTGCATGCAAAACTACACTTTTGTACGTCTTGATGTCGCCAAAATTGTAAATATTTATCAACTAATAATATCAATTGGCGAGTAAATCGAACAATGTATTTTTAATCCGAAAAATTGTATATAATTACAATATTAATACAAAACGATGCTGATATGTAATATTTACTTTTTTCTACGAAATGTATACTTTTTGTCACAGCATTAAAATTTACAAGAGCGTTTGTATAAAAGTCATTATTGGTGTTTTTCTTCATACGGAATCTTATCCTCGGTATCCTTTGGTCAATCAAAAATAATGGCCTCTTACACACGTAATACCTTTGGGATGCTGTTTAAAACTCGTGTACACAGAGTTTTTAGCTTATTAATAATCTTAACGTAGGTCAAATTTAAAAATAAAAAAAAAAATAAAACATATAAATGGTCGCTGAACCGATTGAAACTACTCGCGGGCTTTGACGTTTGAAAGCAAAGCGTTAAAAATATGCATAAAAGTCTCCTTACAAAAAAAAAAAAACTGTTTATACAGTTTACACTTTACAAGTACGATGATTATTATGAATCACAGTGTCTACACTACCATGACTTATTCGAGTTTTCAACCCCGAAAACTACTACCAAAACACACAAGCACTCACAATCGTTTGGAATGTCGATGCACGAAAGCATTAAAATGCTAAATGATTCAAACCGGCATTAACCAACTTTTCATGGAAAAACGTTCTCTCTTCAGCTGCCGTCTGGTAACGCTTAAATTTTTCTCCTTCAAAGCACCAAGCCAGTCTACCTCCCCTACATCTAAATATGGCTACAGAACACGGTTCATTCTCCTTGGACTGAAACACAAATTAAATATTCAATTAACAACCATTTACAAGGTGAGGTACAGATCGCTCATCGGGTAAAAAAAAAAAGAAAAAGTAATGAATGTACTTGCATAGTAGAGAGTCCCAATGGCAATCCAGCTGTAGAATCAATCGACGATTGCCTCGGCCTGGGCTACTGGGCTCATGTCGGCTGGGACGACACCTTGCTCGAGTGAGAGTTGAGGATCTTGGGATTGGTGACGGGCGAGCCCATCTTGACCTTGTTCCTCTTGGGACAGAGCAATTGCCGGTACGCCTCCCTGTACAATTTGTTGGTGCCCGTGTAGATGAACGGATTGATGACGGCCGACGCCCAAGCGAGTACCGAGGCAAGCACGTGGACGGTGGGTACCTTCACCTGGTCCTCGAGACAATTGGCCAGCATGAGGGGCATGTAGCACAGCAAGTAGCACAGGAATATGGTGAGCATGAGCCAAGTGACCCTCGAGTCCTCGCGCTTGACGAAGCCGCTCTTCCTTTGACCGGCGCCTTGGCTCATGTGGGCCTTTATGTTGCGACGGCTCTTCCTTACCCGCCAGTAGATGCACAGGTACGAGAAAATGATGACCAAGCAGGGCAGGAGGAAACCCACGACGAACAGGAGCTTTTTTGGGCTGCGGTTGTTCTTCTTCAGTATCGTGCAGGAGAAGCTCGACTCGTCCAGGCCCAACTCGCCCCAGATCCCGAGCAACGGGGGAATCAGGAGGGAGAAGCTGATCGTCCACACGGCTACGAGCATCAAGCAAATGCCCCTCGGCGTGTAGATTCTCGGGTAGATGTCCGCCCTCGAGATCAACACGTACCTATTTGGGGAAAAACAAAATCGACAAAAATCGTCATTCCCTTGATTCCCTCTGTGGGCTTCGAACAAAGTTCATCGTCATCGAAAAGCTCCAAGAGCTAACACTGGTTTTTTTCAAGAGATACGTTGGCCATCAATTGCCAATGACTCACACGCTCAAGTGCGCGCGGCAGCATCGGAGCCGCTGAAATTTACGACGATTCTCCAGAGAGAGAGAGTATCGGTACAAGAGCTCTTCTTATCTATCCTGAAGGGGGAGGAAAAAAAAAAAAAAAAAAAACAACGAACCTGTTGATGGTGATGGCGACCATGCTGAGGAGGGAGACGGCCACGTTGCCGTAGAAGAAGAGCGGGAACACGCGGCAGAGAGCGTCGCCCAGTATCCAAGCCTCGTAGAAGTATCTGGTGGCGGTGAGGGGCAGGTTCACGCTCGCGAATATCAAGTCCGAGACGCTGAGGCTTATCACGAAGGCCGTCGTGGCGTTTCGCCTCAGTCGGGCCGAGCGCAACAATGCCACCACTGTTATGAAGTTGCCTGGTGCACCGAGAAGGAGTCAAAGTGTCAAGAGAAGCAAAAAAATGAATAATAGTCAATGGATTTCTTTGTGTTTCGTTAAGCACTGCAAATTTATAATTTCATACAGGAAAGTTGAATGTTACTGGGAGAAAATCATTTACTGGAACAAAGTTTCGTTACCATGATCGTTAATTGATTTAAAAATAGTTATTTTTGCATCATTAAGCCGATGTTTTTAATTGTATGTAACAAATTTAAGAATTTCAGGATGAATATATTAACTATGATAATCATACTTGTAACAATATAATTTAAGTACGTCAAATGTATAATGACAATTTTTTACAATTTGTTTTTGTTTTGTTTTAATTTACGAAATAATTGGAGTATAAAAGTGTTCTTTAATTTTTATATTTTCTAATCATAATTTCTTAATTTTACTTGGAATCTCGATTTCATCAACTATGTCATAATGTTATTGTATCTTACAACAAAGCTCTTTTGATAATTTGATCAAAACTTTTTTTTTGTTGGATATAGATAATTGAATTTTATTGCATTGACTTTGTTACAGTTTGTAATCTAGTATTTTTAGATAAGTACTACAAAAAGATAAGAAAACGATTGAAATGAGAGCCTTAGTGTGTCACCACGTATAGTAACATATAAATTTAGTGAATAATGATTCATACGGACACTCGATAAAATTTAACAATTTCAATGTAAACTCAATTTTTTTTTTATATCTTATCCTAATTTAAATCATAAGACCAATGTAAATTCTTTTGTAAAAAATATTGAATTTCGATATTTTTCCGAAACAGTGTACACAGCCAAGTCCCTTCCAGTCACCAGAGCGACCTAAATATCAAAAGCAATAATTCATCAATGACTCACGTAATTTCGCTCGTCAAGTAAACGCACACCACACACGGATGGTCCGAAATAGAGAGCAACATCTTCTTTTTTTTTCTCACTCCCTTTCCTAATCGTCATCATCAGCATCCACCGTGACATAAACAAGTGCTCGGCACCACTTAATTTCAACCAATTAAGCGAGGAAAGCCGCTCCTAAACCGCTTTCTTTGTGTATCTCTCTCTCTCGCGTTTTTCCCGCCGCGTTTTATCATCTCTCTCTGGGTGTCTCTCGCTATACGTATGAATTTACGAAAGACCGAAGACCGGCTGCGTTTCATGTGTGCGCATATATATACCGACGTATATTATGTAGTGAGTCACTTTTACGTATGGGTATAATATTGCGAAGACGCCCGTTGGAGGCAATTATCAGAGGCGGCGATCGTCGTTGAGATTCGTTTGGCTCAATTTCTTCTTACGAGAAGATGATGACGATGGCCGCACGTGGCGCCCGAGTTTCAGATTTTACGGGCGCTTTTTTTTTCGTACAACCACTCGAGTCGTTTTTTTTAATAAATTTCCCTCGCTAAACTACCGCGTATCACGTGAAAATCGTCCCCTCACGGAAGAAAAAAGGGCAACTCTGAACCCTCCTTTATGTATGATTACGCTCCTCCGCCCTTCGTGTTCTCGTACATGTACTTATAAAGCAATGAATCTCGAAGGGAAATTAATTAGTAACAATTTATTTCATTACCGAAATATTTACGCCCTTTTTATTCAAATTTGCGTTGGCACAGGGGGCAGAGCTGGGCATGCGAGCTTGCATGTACGAGAGGCTCGAGGAGGGCTCTCTTTACGCGATCCCCCGGTGATATTGGCTAAACGCGAAAAGTAGGCTGTAGTATGGTATACACAGCGTGTAGGTATACGTCATTTTTATGNTTACAATTAATATCAGCACAACTTTTAACTACAAAAAAAACCACAAGAAAAAAAAAAACAATTCAACTAAATTTAAGAGTGATTTATTGTATGTGAAATCACAATTGATTGGTCAAGTCAAAGATGTCAAATAAATTAATACAGTGTAGCTACATCATCAAATTTTCTGTCTGAAATTAAATCAGATCTCGTATAAAATTAATAAAAATCAGCGGTACTTGTTCCTTTTCGTAATTAGATTGAAATACTGACAGTTTAAGTCGATAGCCATTATCGCGTTATATCTATCTCTATAGCGTTACCACGCATTATATATCATTGATGGTAATTGATCTATTTTCTCCTGAAACGCTGAAAAAAAACTGCGCCAATGTTTACCCAACGCGGAGGTCGAAAGAGCTTCCCAACAAATCCGACACCCCGAAACTACAGTGTGTACATTGTAATGCAAATAAGAAAGACACGCACCACCGGTGACGGCTCAATGCCCCCCACACCACGCTCATTGACTCATCCATCTTCTTTTTTTTTTTTTCTCTCTCTTTTCTCTTCCACCACATCATTTAACGCGCGGAATCTCATTAAGCCCATTAACGCTGCTGTAGTAGCTGCTACTTGCTCTCTCTCCGCCACTTTAATTGTGACCTCATCTCACAGTGTATCAATTCCCTGCTATACTCTCCCATCGGCCCCTTCGTGCTTTTTATTTTTTTTTTTTTTTTTTTTTTTTTTTTTCTTGTCGCGATCGCCCTTTTTTCCGCAATTTTTCTTCAACTCCGTTATGCTCCAGATGTGGCAACTGATGGTCGTATGTGTACTTAAATACACGCGGAGTATGTGATTTTGGTATACTTACCGTACACCCCCCCAAGATACACACTTATACACGCGTGTACGTCGTTTGAGTTTATTGTCTTAATTTTTTTTTCTTGGTTTATTGACTCTAATTCGAGACCGTGAATATTTATGGAAATTTATTCATTTTGATACTCGCGTGTAAAATATTTATTCAAATTTAATAATATAATTGTGGTATTCACAAATTAGGACGTATATTATATACTTTGCATTAATTTTTTTTTTTTTTTTTTAAATTCATCT